ACACCTGATTGGTATTCTGTGTCCTCCACACAAGCAAAAACGTTTATTTTTCGTTAGAAGAAAATGCATGACAGTGGAATTTATGTAATGACTGTGTACAAATAAGCATGCCCAGAAAACAGTTAAAAGGGAGAAAAATACCTGTATGAAATCTAATGGGTAAATTAGGAAATTTTAGTTACAGGAATTCAGTTGGTACTTAGTGTTTGTAGGGAAGCACAAAGAGAACATCAAAATGCCTGATCACATCCCATCTGTTACAACCTCTCACTGGATAACATCTTGACTGCCAAAAAAGCTATTTAAATTTACTACATTGCAGCTACTGATAAATATCACTTCTGTGGAGATCTAATACTAAATAAGGACAAGATCTGAGGATAAACCTTACAAGCAGCAGTGTCAAAAAGATCCAAATTTTGCTTAGTGTAACACCTGTACTCTTAAGAGCGTGCAGTTTCCTACTCCTTGTCCCCGACTGTGATATGTTTTTAATAGAGCACAAAACTACAACACTCCTCAAAAGCTGGATGTCAACAACGGAACAAAATAAAGGTAGAACAGAAAGAATGACATGAAAAAGAAAAAAATTAAAAGGTACTAGAAGAAGGTGATGGAGAAGGCGGCAACTTCTATTCAACAATTTTGGAGGTGATTACTCCAGGCACTGTCCACATAGATCTGACAGGCACAGAATGCTGCCCTGAAACTGCCTCCAGCAATGGAATACATTTTCCAGCACATCACAGCAGCTGCAACGGCATCAATTCTGCTTGCAATCCATGTCCAAAAAGAAAAGTTCTCAGTGGTCCTATTTCAGCATATCTCAAGGACTAATTAAATCCTCATTACTATCTTCTAATTATTCCAGTGCTCTGGGATTTCACTCCGCAAGTCCCCAATGGTGCATTAGATGAAAAGGGTTAAATAACCTGTGTTGATTTTGAGACTCCAGATCTATTTCAGACCTTTAGCATATCATCAGCATTATCATGAATATTTAACTATGTACCGCTGTGAAAATTATAAGGGGAAAACAATTAAAGATTTTTTAAAAATTAATTCTGACCCATATACATTTGCACTAATAAATAAGGCTTCTTTAAGTATCCCCATTATGAGAGTGCTTGCTAGAGTAATAATGTGAAGTCATTAACTGTTTTCATTAAATTCAATGGTTTTCAGGAGCTCCCAATTCACTATTTTAATATAAGACTGAAACCTGACATCTACATATACCCAATTGCATAAGCATGAAAATATTATTTAAAAGCAGGTAAGTTTTCTAACCTTTTTCAGAATTTCGTAAGGAACCATTCATTCCTGCAGGGGTAAAAGTGCCTATTTCAACATTTTTATGACAAATACTCTCGTAACAGTGCTTGCACAGGTGAGTGTTCATATAAGCAGACAGAAATCTCCATTAGTTTACACAAGTATGGGAGTATAAGCTATTGGCCAGGATGAAGGTTTCTTTTTCAGGCTGCAGCTTCAGGAAACTAATTTAGAGGGTCAATTGGGATGTGCTGGGCTTCTGTTTGATCCCTAGAAATAAATTCTAACTCGTTGAGCAGTTCTGGCTACTAAGGACATCCTCAAAGTACATCTTCTGAAACCCAAACAAGTAAGTAGATACAGCGAACATAGGGAGGCTCAAGTGGCTGTGTACGTCAAGGATTTGCTGAATGATTATGACAGCCGAGGTATTACTGCTGCCCTACCTCTGGGGCTGATGCAAAAAAAGTTTATAAAGAGCTTTGACTTCAATAAACACAAAATAACAAACCCCTACTTTGGATCATATAAAGGAAAGTCTGGAGTAGGTCTATTAGAAATGGAGAGCAAGATGTGCATCCTCCTTCCTCCCAAAAACATAGCAAGTTTCGATGACTACCTCTATTAGTCACGACTACACTGTCATTACATTAACCTCAAGTAGTGGTAATTGTTGGGATTCAGCAGCAGTTAAACACACTCTTGCTTCTCCAAGAGACCTCTGACACCAGTCTGCCTCCACAGCTGTCCAGCTCCTATAGTTCTTTAGGATGTATGGGACTTGACTTCAAGTACTACTACTTTTCAAGTCACGTGAGCTAAAAATAGGCTATGTACATAAAATAAATGCAATTTCTGATTTCTTAGGTAGACAAGGTGTGTTGGTAGAACTAAAATAATTTTACTGATTGGGCATCAAACAACAGTGGCCAGTTATCAGCTGTGGGACAAGAAAGGAAGTGCCTTAAATAGCAGGCTACATTACACTGAGCAGGTCCAAATGTTCTACAGTTTGAGCCGGACATGAAAAATTTAAAAATTATTTTTAAAAAGTAAGCATTTTAATGCTTATTACAAAAAGTATGAAATAAACTATATAAAAAGAAAGTTGAGGAGCACAAAAAAATCCAATTCTCCAAGAAACTCCTATTACTGTATATATGCACTACATTACTACTCCCCTACTTTTACACACAGAATGTATATGTAAAACTGTGCTCATTGCTTCATGCTGCACTGTGAGATAGGGGATGTAGAATCTTAGGCAGACAAACATAAAAATCCCAGAAGGATGCTGAGTAACCACGGAAAGCACGGTAAAATATAATAAACATTTTAACAATAAAATCAGTAAGTGTAAATTTAATGGTTCAAGGTAGTGGTTTAGCATCCAAAAGTGCTACAGATCAGACTCCACCCATCAGTCAATCTTCATGGTAGCTGGTAAATAACATTTTTTACAAGTATTGAAAGCAGAGGATTCTGCTCAAGCAATGATTAGTAGACTTTTCTTCATTCAATTCTCTCTCTAAATAAGGAAAGAAATGCTATACAAAGTGTGAAAACAAACAACATTACCTTATCCTATGGAGTATCTCTGGGGATTTTGTTTTCATTTTCCTTTAATTTTTTTTCTCTTTTTTTGGAGAAAGTGTATCAGTAAGCCGAGAGTTTAAATTACTGTAACAGATGCCCAAGGATCAGGTGTCCTTAGCAGCAACGATTTTCTGCTCAGGTTTTTATCAGTAAATGACAAGCACTTTCCCCTTTGAGTCCCCATCATTCCCCCTCCTTCCTTTCTTCAAGTTCTGTGGAAACCAGTTCAAGCAAGCAAAGGAATCAACTAATGTAACAGCCTTTTTAAAAGGTGAAGTTTTCCATTTCAAAGGAGCCTCTAATCAATGACAGGGCACAAAAGGGAATGCACGCATGTTTATGCGCGTACAGCACAGACTTTAGAGAAGCTTTGGGGAACATGTTCTGCAAAATCAATATGACCTAGCTAGTTACAAATTTTGAATCTCCTGCATGAAACAAATGGACTTCTTGTACAAGCTGGGTCACAAGGATCATGCATATTACACCAGATTTTGCATACGAAGTGTGCAAAACCTGAAACATTCCAAAACACATTTTCTCTAAGAACATACCCACAATCCTCACTGTGTAGATGAAAATCAAACTAAATCAATCCGTAAATTTTACTTTTCTCACTGTTACTTTCATGTTTGACTTCCCAATTATGGCAGCTGTCTTCTGTTTTACTTCTGAATACCTGTCTGCCTCTCCTGACCATACACTGAACCACAGTTTTGTTCTACAACAGAACAGAGAGGTTCGACCTTTCCAGTTCTGTCAGACCTGTCCAACTTGTCCCCCAAAGCCAGGTGAGGAACATACACTGCAGAAATAATTATTAGTGGGCACTGTAACATTTTATGCCAAGACCCAGTTATGCCAAGAAATGCACACATCTTTCTAAGGTGCTTGGGTCTTCATCTCATCCATTCTTGCTGCCTCATGACATTTCTATCCCACAAAGCATCATGTATTTGTATCGGCTACTGAGGGCATTCTTTTTTCACCAAGCATTTACGTTATTCTGAGTTTTTTAAATGGGAAAATATGTCCCTGAACAAACAACTGAATATAAAGAATGACTGAAAAGGAAACAAAACAAATCAGCATGGAATTCTGTATTTCATGTTCTCATTAATCAGCATTCCTGGAGGAGGGGACATTCAACCCAGAAAAATAGCAAAAATTAAGACTCTCTGCTCTTCTTTGTGAGTCCTCTTAGCTCCTCCTGGATGCTATCCCAGAAATTTGTCATTCTGTGAGTTCAACTTGTTTCACTGTGAGAAAACTTCTAGTATTTATGGTATCCCCATATGGTGCTACTTGGGATATTTCTGGAAGCAAGACATTTTAGGAGGGGCATTTCATAAATAACTCCATGTTTATCACAGTTATCATGTGTCTGTTTTGCAAGCCTGTCACTGGCACATGTTAACCACTGCAAGGACAGGATGCCCGGATTACAGAAGTTGATGGCACGTATGGCCACGCAACAAAGCTGTGACAACTGAATTCCATGAGTTAGGGAGAAAGGAGGTGAAAGGACAAAGGGCTTGAAGTTTATAAAATGCAACTTTAACTTAAAAATGCTCTGCTTATTTTTGTGAGCACACGGTAGGGAGCACCCTTTTAGAACAGTGCTCTTGCCTGCAAGGTTTTCCATGCAAGATTTCCAAATGTTTGAACTATTTGACCCAAATATTTGATTTCCCTTTATATTTAAAGACATTTTTATCCTAGAACTGACTAGAGGACTATTGTGTCCACACAAAGATATTAGAGATGATTAAGAACAGTAGCAAAACTGCTCATAGTTAGCACTCTTTCTCTACATCTTTATTCCAAGATAGGCAACAAAGAGTTGTGTTCTCCAGGACATGACTCAAGTATTTACAGAAACTGCTTTATACCCTGGGCATTCACTGTATTTTGAGAAAACCTTGTTTTCAATTATAGTTTGGTAAAACCTGCTATTCAGTTGCTCTTTCCCTGGAGATGGAAACCCCTCAAGCCTTTTACAATGAAGACTGTCATTATTTTCCCTGGGAAAAGAAAAGAAATACCAGGAAATCTCACATTACTAATGTGCAACTTAAAATGAAGGCTGCATTTGGCACCAATTGAAAAAGCCCCAACACCTAACAAACCTCGGTCCTGTGGCATTGGTGACTGGCTCAAGGCAGGGTGGGAGCTGGATTCTGACTGGCTGCCAGGAGGCTGCGGTGGCATCTGACTGCCTGTAACACACAGAGAGAAAAGGGAAAACACACTTGCTTTTAGCATTTCAGTGCACAAAACCAAGCATTGCTTCATTTTTCAACCACTCAACATCAAAGAAACTACCAGCTGTATAAGGTAAAGACAGAGCTCAACAGGTCTAGTTTTTTCACACTTTTTTCTTTTTTCTTCCTTTTATTTTTTGAAACCCATGGAGGAAACATGCACAAACACATTTAGCAACAGGCATGGCGAAATGTTCAATTTCGCACTGAGCGAGTTCCCAACCTCACCAACATGATCCAATTTATAGCTGCAAATCTCCTGACACATATTTCTGTTAGGGAGTTTAACAAAATCCAAGTCTGCTGAACAATAGGGCTCATCCTGCCTAGCTTAAACTGGCCTCCAGCCAGGCAGACATGGACTGCTGCCAACAATATTACCAATGAAAAATTCGGTCAATACAAAAATGACTAACAACAACAGTTTAAAAAGTATTTCAATGAATCAGTGGTTTTAATATTGTTTGAATGTCCATGTAGAAAATGGGAATAAAGAATAACATGCAGGCACATGTGGTGAAAGTGAATGTTTGAAAGAGATCAGCCAGAAAAGAGGTATCTTATTATTCAAATAAAAGCAAAGGAAGTTATTTATTAAAATAACTAGCTAAAACAGACATATCCATTTTTATGGCCTTGCTCAAAAGACATCCACTGCTGTCTACCCACCCAAACAAGCAGAGCACTGCCAGTGCTGTCTGTGAGGCTCAGAACACAAAATATTCCCTTTCAGTGTAAATGGATAATAAAGCAGATGCTTATTGCACTGATCTAAGTCACTCCTCTGGGTGACCATTCAACACCGTGTCAAGCAGAGAGGTCCATCTTACCACTCCCCAATGCCCCAGGGGCATAAGAATCAACCTGCCCCAGCCCGAGCAGGAAGAAGAATGAGCCCTGGACATCCCCTGGGACTCCTCTTTGCTCTCGGTCTGAGACATGGCTGCTTGTGACAGCCCAAGAGGCTTGAAGACCACCTCAGGTTAGGCAGCAAATATATACTTTAAGCATTTAGACACTTGTAGTGACGAGCACGGTATAAATAGCAGCAGACAGATTTATACCCCTCATCTTCGGAAACTGTTCAGATTGTTTTCCATTTGAAAGAAATGGAAAGAATAAAAACACAGGCAATAGATTTGTGCCTGCTGAGACTCATTTCCTCCTGCTCAGCAGCTGCCCCTCTGCAGTGGCAGGAGCAAGAATCCTGTGGACAGTCCTGGCGCTGGGAGCCGGGCTGACAGCGGGGCAGCAGGGTTGGGCTGCTTTAGAGCAACCAGGTGGACATAAATGCAGGAAAGAAAAGGAGTCTGCTCTGCTCCATCCACTGCCCGTCCCAAAGCTACCAGCTCTCGGCACCAACCCTGAAGAAGGCCAGACTGATACAGAACAAAGAGAAAAATCTGTAAATTGCAGAGTGTAACTACTGCCTAGCTATTCAGATGAGGTGCTTCTGCACTAGAAACATGACAGTCAACATTACCGAGAGCAGCTGTGACAACTGTCTCAGAGATGCAAATGCTGGACCAGAGGCAGAATTGCTCCTCCAAAAGACCAAACACGCCACTCAGCGCCCAAGGCTTTGGGTTCCACGGCCCATTCACGAACTCTGAGGCATATGACAATAATAATGACAAATTCCAGCTTATGTTTTGATGTCACTCAAGAGCAGGCTGTGGAGATGGTAAGTGCCTGCATTATAATGAAAGCTTTCAGCTTGACAGGAAGGATTCAGTGACTCAAGACTGTAAACAAACAGCATTTCCATGTTAACACAGGGCACTGCCACTTCCACTGTGTATGCCCCAGGCACCGCTATCAGAGAGAGCACTTCAAGTGGATGGGAACCATCTAAGGTTCCTACAAACACTTAAAAAACCCCCCCAAAACAACAAAAAAAAAAACAAAGCAGGAGTGGTTCTGACTGCACTGCATAGCTCTCAGCAGGATCTTCCTTTAGGTGGACTTGGCAACTTTAAGAGAAGCTATAGTGCAGAGAGTATCTATGATAGGCAACATACTTTGCATATACTATAGACGGTGTCTGTTTTTTTACATTGATAGTACCATCAGTTATCTGGCTGGAGCTTTAGCCTTAAGGATAATGTTCAATCACAGACCAGTAAAGTCAAGGTAGAACAATACCTGTACAACTTTTACACAGAAATCAGTTTCATCCACATCCTCAGTCAATACAGACTCTGGAGTTTTGCAGATTCACGGGAATTGTCAGTCTCTACAAACATTAATGCTATTTTTTCAGTGTACTGATTTTTTTCCTTATTAAACAAACTGTAAAGCAAAATTTTTGTTTCACAAATAAAAACTGTTTCATAAACATGACCAACTGGGCACATATTCCAACAAGTAACAAACTTTCAAGAGAAGTATCCACTATGCTAATTATCAGTGGGTGCTACAGATTATCCAGGTGCTGGACATGAAGGTACTGCATCAAAATGTTTTCAATCGAGCTGCCGTTTTATTCTTAGAAGTGATGTGAAAGGTAAAAGGAGGTTAAGCACCCAAATACCTTTGAAGACTTGAACTGAACTCTTAATTTGGGTATCAAACTCCTATCGATTGGGAGCTGATGACAGGACTTTAAAACCTTTGAAGATCCCGTCTGCTATGCTTTTTAAGTTTCTTTGTCATGAAAAGAAATGACCTTAAAGATTTTCCATTTCTTTCCTTTAAATGATAGTAATCCTTTTCTCTTTCAACCAGTATTGCAGTTGTGTTTCTTGGAAGACACTTTAAATAATACATGAACAGACTTTTCTATTTTATTTGGGAAGGAAAACTTCTAGGAAAGAAAAACAACCCTTTTTCGTTTTTAACATAACTCCTGCAGCTATTCAAGACAGAAAAAAATAAATCTAGTTGTTTTTCTTTTTTTCCACTAACAGACTACTGCCTCCTTTGACCCAGTCATACACAGAAGGAAGTTTAAACAGGGATGACCTTTTCCCATCTTTTGTACACCACTGTTGTCACATTGGTGAGATACTCCACCTGCCAAAACGTATGCAAAGTGAATACTGCAGATGTTTCACAATACTACTATTATGCAAAACCACAGAAAATGCAATAATGTATGTTAAAAGGATAGAAGCTGCTATGCTAGTTCTTTTCCATATATTTAACAGAGGAGCAAAATGCTATTCAAATTTATATAGCTATCTAGTAAAATTAGTTGTTAAAACTACTGAAACCAGCAGTCTACCTAATATAATATCTGCTATTTAAAATTTTAAAAAAAGAGTCAGCTGAAGAGGTAAGGGAATTTAAAAATGCATAATACTATATTTGTAAGCAGGTTTTCTCTTTTTTAAATTATATCAAAGGCTTTTAAATTTTTTCACTTTGAAAATCTTCACTTCGAATGGAATCAGGGGAGACTGAACACTACATTTGGCAAAGATTGAGGAAAGTACTAAATAGTGACTACATGGCTAAAGCCATGCAGTTAAACTGTAAAAAGTCAATTCCTTAGGGCCGACATAGCAAGGAAGAGCAGACCTTTGATTTCTGCTAAAGAGGGGTCCTTACAGTCCACATCAGCAATGTTTTGAAAGATGCTGAGGGCTCTCTGCTCCCATCAGTGTAATGATACTGGAGGATGCTGGGCTGTGACACCCTGTACCAGCTGGACAATACCTCACAGAATTATGCCTGAACAATTGAGTCAAGAAAACACTTTGGTGGTAACAAGCTCCTTCTAGGAAATAACCAGTTATGGGGGGAAGAAGGGATATAAGCACAGGAATTTTAAGATGCATGAGGAACTGGAGGGCGGGGAACTGATCATAGTCTGTGTTGAAAGTGGAACACTAGGCTGAAGGGAAGGCAGAAGTTACACATCTTGTGGGTTGTCTTTGGGACAATTCCCAATCTAATTTAGGAATTGAGAGCTGGATTAATGACATCATTGATCACAAAGTAGGGATTATTACTCAATACAAAAGATGATCAAAATGCTACCTAAGAAACCCTTGGGACCACCTTTTGGCTTGGAGTATTAAAAATGCAAACGTTTATATACATGAATCTTCAGGCATTCTATAACTGAAGAGCTGTAGGTTATCAGGCAGACATGGGAGGATAAAAGGAGGGAAAAATCTGACCACATCTGTTGACCTAAAATGGTTATAGCCTACAAACATCTATCACTAACCATGTCATGTGGCACTCAAAGAAACAAATTTATCACTAGGATAAAGTAGGAGGATTGTTCACAGTAGAGGTAAGACAACACAACATCACTGCTGATGTGTCACTGGTGAGCCCTCATAGAGACAAACCCAGAAAGCCTAATGCAAACTAGAATGGGAATGGGCTACCAGCATGAAATGACAGGAGGCTGAAAGTGTGAGTATTATTTAGTATGACAAAAACTAGAGCTGGAATTTTATGACTTCTTTTCTAAAATATGTATTTGAGACTAAATATCAGGGAGGAAAAAGAGCATGATGATGGTTAGGAGGATAATCCAACCATTACTGGAGCTTGAAACAGCTTCGTTTTACGAATAATGAGGTCCTGAAAATCTAGTGATTAAGATGAAATCTGATAAAATAATAGGGTAATCATCACACAGTCAATGTTACAATAAAGGCTCATAGACTAGAAGAGACATTCCAGGTCTTGGATCCCTACATCAGAAATGAAAGAACATAAGTAGGCTTCTATATGAGAGTGTTTCAAATGAGCTTTCCAGGAAATTGGAAGTGAGGTGCAAATGACCTCAAAGGAAAGAAATTTTTCTATGGGTAGCATAAAGGAAACTGGTCATGTGTTTTGTGTTATCTCTTTCATCTTATAAAGCCTATGACCCCTTAAGAATAAAGATTATTTTCTTCCTTAATTTATGCATTGTAGCCAAGCTTCCTGTTGTATCAACAGTACCTTTTAAATTACATATTCATTCAAGTAAAAAGTAAGGGTTGTCTGCA